GGAATGCTGACTCTGTACCCTATCTTTTAGTCTGTTGAATTGTCTGCCAAACTATTGAACTGTCTTGAATTATTTTAATATTAAATGATCATTGGCATTTTAGTGATTCATCTGTGAATTAATTTAGCTTGCATCAGGTCCTAACAACCACAAAAGCATGCAGCTGTGTTTTTGATCACTGAAAGTACAAATAAAGTACATCAAAAGTGCATGGAAGTTCAGTACTTGAGTGAATGTACATGTAGGTGTGAAAATCAAGCCTCCAGGAGCAGTACAATTCTTAAAGTGTGTTTGGATTTTCATTTTTTGGACAAATTTGGAACAGCAGGTCACATGATAAAAGTCTTGCCAAACACATCCATCTGAAAGGAAGTCACACATCGGTCAGAACTAATGCTTTCAGTGATCACAAACAGTTAGCTAGATATATTTAAAAGCAACATAAATAAACACATTCTTGTGTGCAAGTCAATTAAATTGAACCAGACTATAAAGGATCATGTTTTTCATTTTGCACTGATTACAAGGCAAAATAAGGATATTATTATATGTTTATTGTATAAATGGATGGGGTACAAGTGCTCTATAGGTTTTATTATTTTTATTACAGTGGTATAGACAAATTTTCACAAGAGTACCTACTACACAAAAGATATTTTATACAGTATATTGTGAAGACATGGTTTGTGGTCTGTCCCACTACTTAACATATGTTGTGTTTACTTAAATTTTAGTTTGTGTCCTAAAAGTACATCAGTTGATTGTATGTATGGCTGCTCTATGTATCATGTTTTAATTATCTGTGTCTCCAAACAAGCCCACACTGAATGCTTTCATGGCTCTTGGATATGAAGCCTGGAGAGAGGCCAGGAGGACCTTGCAAGTGTTGCTATCAGCCAGTGAGAGCACACTGAGAGATGACATCGGTCTTCAAAACAGGTCAGTCTGTGAGTAAATCCCGGTCACCTTATTTGATCAGTCCTCGATCCTCACTCAGTTCAATTCAGTTTTATTTGTATAGCGCCAAATCACAACAAAAGTCATCTCAGGACACTTTACAAAGTAAGGTCTAGACCAGGGGTCGGGAACCTTTTTGGCTGAGAGAGCCATGAAAGCCACATATTTTAAAATGTATTTCCGTGAGAGCCATATAATATTTTTTAACACTGAATATAACTAAATGCATGCATTTTTAAGTAAGACCAACTATTTTAGAATATAATAAGTCTCTGAATTTATTCTTTTTAATAACATTGTTATACTGAAGCTAACCAATAATAAATAAAATACTTCTTACCATTAATGCGACTTCTGGTGCTGCATGGTTTTGCTGCTGGCTTTGTAGTCTGGTTGATACGTGGTGAGGTTAAGCTTCATGCAGGCGTTGAGGCTTACATCCGTTAAACGTGATCGTAGGTTGGTCTTGATGTTTTTTTAGACCAGAGGACAACTGCTCACATGCATACGTAGAGCCAAACATGGTCAATACGGCAATACTCACACGCTGCACTGTGTGGTATGTGACAGGAAGTGCGTTCCAAGTTTTGACAGCTGGTCTGCGGGTTGAAGTTTTTTCATTTCTGTCCACTTGTGTTTGCTCGCCAGCTCTGCTTGCTGTCATGCAAGTCTTTCCAAATCTTCATTCAGTGACTTGAACTTATTCATTCACATGTCTGAGGCCTCACTTCTACCTCAAAATCTCTGATGGAGACACCAGGGATGTAACTCAGGTCGACTTTGTCCACTGCACACTCGTGTGGATGAGTGATTAACTTAAAAAGACAAGTGTGCTCACGAAATTCTCCAAAGCGTGCTTTGAATGACTGCAGGAGATTAGATGTGAAGCCAGCTAGCTACTGGAGATCAAAATGTTGAGCGGGGTCACTTGCTGTGCACGCATCTTTAAATTCTCTCAGTTTTTCAAGGTGTAGTAAACGACATGTTTCAATATCCACGATAAAGAGTTCCAACTCCCAGTTTTCAAATGCAAACACTGCTTGTTGAAGGGATAAGACTGTATTTCCAATGCCTTGCATTTTCACATTGTGCTGGTTCAGATGTTCAGTCATGTCCACAAGATAGTAAAACTTCAGGAGCCACTCAGTGTTAGCTAGCTCAGGATGCTCGACGTCTCTTGCTGTGCAAAAGCAGACCGGGATAATTACTCCCAACTTCATCCAGCAGTGTTTTAAACTGGCGATCATTTAAAGCTCGGGCAACAATAAAGTTGACCACCTGAATGACCAGCGACATCACCTCACCAAGCTGCTTGCCACACATTTGAGCACAAAGCGCCTCCTGATGTAGGATGCAATGAAATCTTAGGATGGGTCTATTTTCATGTTCACGAAGAAGCGCTATAAATCCTCTGTTTTTCCCCGCCATACACAGAGCACCATCAGTACACACTGAAATAAGTTTATCCATCGGTAGATTTTTTTTTTCTTTAGTGAACTCAATGAAAGACTTGAATAAATCCTCCCCTCTTGTTGACCTTTTATTGGCAAAACAGCAAGACTTTCCTCATGCAGTATGTCACTGGCAGCATACCTTGCAATCACACTGAACTGGGATAAATGGCTTATGTCTGTTGACTCATCCAAAGCGAGGGAAAAGTATGGCGCTGCATTTATGTCCTTCACTTGTGTTTCCTCCACTTGATTTGCTATCATGATGGTAAGATCGTGAACAGTATTTGCTGACAGAGGCATGTCTTTTATTCATTTGATTATCTTATCTTTATCTGAAAACTCGTCAAAAAGTTCATTGGCCACGTCAAGCATGAATGTTTTGGCATACTCGCCATCTGTGAATGGCTTTCCATTCCTCACTATTGCTAAAGAACCAGCAAAGCCAGCCAAATTCCAGTCACCTTGTCAGGTCCATACACGTAGTTGCTGCTGACTAGCTTGCACTCTGCACAGTAGCTCTTGGTATGCCTTCTTCCTGCTGTCCCCCACTGGATATTTCGATGCAAATGTAGCATAGAGTGTGTTGAAGTGCCACTTTATATTTGACCGTTTCATCCATGAAATTTTATCATTGCATATTAGACACACTGCAGAACCCGCTCTCTCCCTGCTGAAATGTACTGTTGTACTCATCTTTTTGTCTTTTCGCCATCTTCTTCATCAAAAGGGTTTGCTCTGCATTAATTAGCTAGCTGACTATTTGATTAAAATGAGGGAAGTTTACTTCTTGACCTCACAACAACCCGCATAGGCTACCGCATTATCCAATAAAAATAGAGTTTTGGTGTCTGACCCTCCTGTACCCCAAAGGACAGCTGGGATTGGCTCCAGCCACCCGCAACCCTGAATTGGAAATGGATTAAAATGCATTAGAATGTTTTATATTTTGAACGTTATTTTTAACATTGTGATTTTTGTAATGTTTTACTTTAAAATGTCAGTGGAATTATTCATTACTTATGGTGTTAAGAAATGTCATGAGTAAATAAATCTTGGGGTGAGTGTGAAACTGTGAGAGTTGTGGGAAGGATCTGATTAATTTTTTCTCTGATAGTTGTGATTTTATTTGTAAAGAAGCTCATGAAGTCATTGCTGCTGAGATCTAAAGGAATGTTAAGCTCAACAGCACTGTGGCTCTTTGTTAGCCTGGCTACAGTGTGTCGTGGCTAGAGTGTGATGCCGACCAAATTAATTCAGACAGATCATCCCAATTTAAATGACAATTTAATATTACAATTATTCTGAACAGAGTAGTAGTGAAACGGATAATCTGATAGGGAACAGAATGGTGACCAGAGTCACTCCTCCTGCAATGTGATACATAAAGTATTAAATGAGAAGATTGTCAAAAGTGCCAGTCAGTCTAGTCAGTTGTTGTTGTTAGTCACGAGGTACCGTCAGTTAGAGTTCATAGGCCTGAGTTCGTTTCCCCAGCCAGGCCTGGGTCCCTGGAACACTTTTCACAGTAACATTGTCATCATCTCTTCTTCTCTTCCTCTGCTCTAACCCAGCTTTCCTAGCCTTTTATCTGCTCGCACTTACACAGCCTTCCATGGCCTGAGCATGAGACGCAGTCAGCTACCCACACACACCTTCTTCCGAGCATTGTCTAAGAATGTCCAGTACATGAACTTCTAGGTCGCATTGACCTAGTGCATATTTCCTTTTTCTAAACCTGAACAGAGCACACGAACAGTTCACATAAGGCTGCAGCTACAGTATATCCATTCCCTATCTAGACTTCCTCGGGATGTTTACCCATAAGTTAAACAAGGGGGACCCAGCCCAAGATATTTTTGCTTGAGCAAGAAAAGAGAAACAGGTCAAGCTTACCTAGACACTTAGCTCACCCTTACATCCTTACACAACTATTACAAATAATATCTATATATGAACTACATACTGTTCTATTACATATTACCTCTGGAACCTTGTTTATTTTTAACCACTACAAGTGCTGAAAAAAAACCCGGGCTTGTCCTTATTTTTCTCTATCAGTGATGCAGTTGTAAAATCAGTTTTTTTCTATTTAAGGCAGTTAGTGAAAGTAAAACCCTTTTTGTTGCGGCAGCATTTGGAGACAGTGATCCATGCATTTATTACATCTCATATGGATTACTGTAATGCTCTGTACGCTGGAGTTAGTCAATCGAGTCTTGCCCACCTCCAGAGGGTCCAGAATGCCGCCGCTCCGATATTGG